TACTACTACTACTACTACTACTACTACTACTACGTACTACTACGTACTACTACTCTACTCTCTCTACTCTACTACTCTCTCTCTCTCTCTCTCTCTCTCTCTCTCTCTCTCTCTCTCTCTCTCTCTCTCTCTCTCTCTCTCTCTCTCTCTCTCTCTCTCAGTTTAATTACTTAATCAAATATTCAATAGTTAAAGAAAAGGAAAGCTTGAATGCTCTGAGTCTGATATCACACAGAAAATTGAGAACCAAAATTAATTTCTGTTACTATTTAACGAATAGTAGGAAGAGATTTGTCGCTCAAATGAAAAATTTCTATTAAATTCAAGCATTTTAGCAGAGGCTTTATCATAAGTTATTGCAGCCCATATGAAATGCGGAGATATCCATCATACAAATAACAGTCGTACTTACAGAAAGAGTAGAAAGATAACCTATATGATCCCAAGGTGTAGCAACTGAGACCTGCCATTTTTGCTTTTTTTCTTTTTTTCTTGGAATTTTAGCATGATTTAATGGAGTTGGCATGGAGGGAAGCTCAAAGAATGTGAATCAAAATGACCAACCAGAGCACGCCACGTGCGAAGGGTAGATGATAGGATTATAACGACAATACTTTTATTATATGTAGGCTGTGGTCCACACGATCACAAGAAATGCGTGATCGTAAGGCCCGTAACATCATAGCATGGGTTGCACCCCAAATATACAGTAGAGCAGAGTGTTTCGAAATCAATAAACCTTCCAATTGACAATCTCGACATTTGATAATGTTGAATTACTAAAAATAGCTTATATTGAAACATGTAATTTGGACAGTCTGTTATTAAGATTTTCAAGTGTTAGATAGATATGCTTGATATATATCATTTTTAAAAAATATAATTTTTTAATTAGAATTGAACAAAAATTTTCAAGTCGTCATAAGATTTTCACAACTATAACTTCTAGTAAAATTTAGAGGTACACCTATAAGGTGGGTACCTTTTACAAACCTCTCGCAGTTAGCTTGCGGCTAAGCCCGCATATGTATAAATACGGGCTTGGCAATAAATATACTTAAAAAATATAAATTGATCCTAATATTTAGAGAGTATATAATCTTTAACATGGAGATCACGACTATGGAAAAATAAACAAATTTAAAAAGTAAAAATAATATAATTATATTAAAAAAACATTTGGACCCTTAGTTACAATTGTTTTTAGATAAACCACCTATTTGCATCCATCTTTGAGATGGATGCTCTATCCCTGGACCGCATATTGTAGAAATGCCGTCCACAATCTTTGGTGGGTTTTTGGGCGTGTATTATGCTCCTATAGGAGCATAATATACATTTACTCCCTCACTCAAAAGACTTATTTGGGAGATTTTTTTTTTGTCTTAAATTTTGGAAACTTCCTAAAAATCACTATACAATTATTCTCAAAAGAAAATTTTGAAATTTAAGTTTTTTAACACTTAGAGCTCACCCTCCAATAATGGAATGGTCTTTATTCAATCTGGATATTTTTGTTTTTTAAGTACATAGAGGGTGCGGGTGCAATTAAATAATATTTTATTCAAGTTGATCTATGGGTCAAGAGGTCTCATTCCCAACATTTGGAGTCCTAAAGTTAATCTTAGATGGGTTTTACTCGATCGAGTAAATGAACAATAGTAGATATTATTGACCCATAGGGCTACAACCCTAAAAAAATAAAAAAATAAAAAAAATAAAAAGGTAAAGCATCACCCTAAAAACGGACAGAGTAGTGCAATTCTAGTTTTTGAAAACATTCAAATTGATCATCTTGACCTAGACTAGTATGGTTGCAAAAAAAAAAAAGTATTTAAGTCCTAAAATAGTTTATATTAGAATACATTATTTTCAAGTTTTAATAGATCCATGTACCATTTTTTGATCTACAAATTCAGAATAGTGATAGAAATTGATTCAAAGCCATCACATCAATTTTTCTTGCCAAAGTATTTTCCGGACAAGGTGTTGAGTGATACTTTACTTTTAAGCCTAGGCCTTATAGAAACTGCATCCATTGCAAAATGGTCTCTACTCCAACGTACTTTCTCAATTTTTAGAAAAAAAAAAAATATAGGATGTAGTTTCTATAAGATCTAGGCTTTATAAAACAAAATAAAGCTTTACCGTAAATCTTCATCTGGAAAACACTTTCGGCAAAAGAAATCTCTATGATGTCACTAAAATCAATTTCCAACACCGAACATAAAATTTGAAACGAACAAAATAGTACAAATCTTGTGGATCTATAAATATTTATGTTTAAAAAAAATAGACGGTCTAAATAATTTGTTGTAATATACACTATTGTTAGAGCAGCTTAAAATCTTAATTTTTTTTCACAAACCATGATATTCAAGTTGAGATGATCAATATAGAGGTTATCCAATGCTTGAATTGTAAATTTGGATGAGTTACAAGGCAGGGCTGCCCTATAAAACCATTTTGATATATGACCTAAGACTACGGAATTTTTGGAAGGGATCGCACCTAAAACGGCGTGCCGAATAAGCATGCTATACTCTCGGAAGTAATATTATTCATTTACTCCCTCGTATAAAACACCGCAATGTTTTTTTATATAACCTCTTCATCCCAAAGGTTAACCTCAATTAGAAAAATTTATTAAAAATAATGTCTCAAAATTAAATAGAGACTATCCAATTTTTAGAGGATCACTTCAAAATATTAGAAAAAAAATCAAATTTCAATTAGTTTTATTTTGAAAATAATTATCTGTCCATGGTGATGAGGCATTATTAGTTAGTTTCCAATTTTTCAAATTAATAAAAATCCTCCCAAGGAGGCTTTGTAACCGAGGGAGTAAACATACACCATGCTCTCCAGTGGGAACACAGTATACTTGCCTATGAAATAAAACGATTGCAAAGATTCGGCGAGGCCGTCCCCTACTTAAAATCCCTGAGGTTACGATCTTCGTTCTCTCTCTCTAGACGGCCCCCCATTGCGTGTTCTTCTTTCTCTCTCCCCTCGCTGCATCTTCAAAATGCCTCTGAAAATGTACGATGCAAACCTCTGCAACTTTGAAGAGAAGTTTAAAAGTTTCGCATCCGAAACCCCATCAAACCATATCTCTCTAATCCTCTTCTTAGCTGACAAAAACCCATCCTCTAATCTTAGCTGGTGCCCAGGTATGTTTTCAAATTTCCAGACATATTGCTTGAATCAGTTATTAGAAAAGTAAAAGAAAAACCAAAGGAGAATGGATTCTTAATGAACAACTCTCTCTCTCTAAACCAGATTTTAGTTGTGCATTATTTGGTTTCCCATTGATTTATGCACTACTTCAGTTATATATCGGAAAATAAGAGAACAAGGGTTTCTCTCTCTATAACAAGTTGTAACAGGACATGTGTGGGATTCCATTGAATGGCATATTACTTGCTTCAGAATTTAGATATGGAAAAAGAAAGAGAAAAAGAAAATGGGTTTTTAGTGTATAGTTTCTCTCTCTAGAACAGATTGTAACAGGGCAGAACCAGTGATTTATCAGAAGGTAGCAGACTGTAACAGAGATGTTGCTTTGCTGAGGGCGTTTGCTGGGGATAGAGCCACCTGGAGAAAGGCAGACCATCCATGGAGGGTTGATCAACGGTTCAGATTGAGTGGTGTTCCCACCCTTGTTAGATGGGTTGACGGTGATATTCGAGGGCGCCTTGAAGACACGGAGGCCGACATTCCAGAGAAGATCGATTCCATCCTTAATTGACTCTCTCTTACATATATGGTGAATTTCTATATTAGTTAATCCATTTAGTGTTGAATAATGTTTGTCCGAGTTTCAGTTGAGAAATTATCCTGTTGGGGTTTCTTCTAACTTCAATCGTGAAGAAAATGTTCATTTACTACTTACCAGTTAGTCTCAAATAATGTATCCTGCAAGTTTAAACAGCCTATTTCAAAGTTGAGGAGTTGGGTTTTGATAGTGTTAATGATGCCATGTTATGGATAGTTCAGATTTAGTTGAATAAAATGTGGGATTGTGAATTCCTGAGGCGACCTTCATATTTGTTTGGGATTATGAAAACTACGCCTTCCTTTTCCCTTGGATTATGACTTAATAGCTGGTACTTGCTTTCCATGGGAAACTATCCGATTGTCTTTGAAGAAAAGATAAGTATATGATAAAGTCTTTGGAATTTATGCATAAAAAGAAAAGTGAAACAGTTTAAAATCATTGACTTGAAAGAAGATGAAACCATCATGAATCTTCTGGATGTTCAATATACAACAAGGAGAAAAAGTGACATACATGTGTGCACATACACACACACCGTAGTTTTACAATATAGAAAAGGACTCAATTATGAATACCCTAGGCTTAGTTTTCCTTGTGCTTCATTAATATTATTCTGTGGCATTTTTATCACATTTAGCCCATTTTGCTTGTAAAGATAATCTGCTGCATGTCATTGTGGGTAGTTTTTGTTGTAATATTGAAACTAGGTTGAATTTTTCTCTGAAGTACATTTGGCACTTCTCATTACATCATACTAACTGGTGAAATATTTTTGGTTTGAGAAATGTGATGAAATTGGATGGGTTCCCTTTGTCCTAATTTTGTGAAAATTGCAAATTGAGTTTTTCTTCTTTCTTTGGTTCTTCCGTCCATTTTCCTTCCTTCGCCGAAATCCTTTTTGTCCCCCCATTAAATTAAATATTTTATGCATGGAAAAAGTTTATATAAGGTTACAACCTTATAGAATTAAAGATGCACCTAAAAAATCCATCGGAAAAGATTATTTTAATGTTGAAAAATCCTCTAATTGATCATCTCAACATCGAGATGTATGAATATGAAAAAAAATAAAAAAAAGGATTTTGAGTTTTAGAAATAGTGCATCTTGCAACACATTATCTAAACCATCCATTTGCAAGATTTTTATATGTTTATAAATGGACTTGTTTTTAACCATTTTTAGAGTTTAAAATTTTATAATTAGATATGAAAATAGATTTTGAGATAATCTTAAGAATTTTTTATACAAAATAAAATACAATTTGGAAGCTTGCCTTGGACTGTTTAAGGTTGCAACCTTATAGAAACCACACCCTGTTTGTATATGTTTTAATTCTAATCAGAGCATTGAACGTGTATCAGACATCTGATACAACAGGGCATGCTCATGCTTAGCAATAAGCATGTACTAATGGTATTTCTTAAAGAAGTGCGAAAGATATTTCTAGCATACATGTGGTGCATCACAGGAGAATGAAGGGTATAGAATGCTTATATCAAGAGATTATGTGCTCCTGCATTGGGGTATAACCCTTATTAAAAAGTATCTTTTAGGACCCCAATTTTCAGAGATGGAGCCTAGCAACCAAGCTTAGAAGGATCACAATTTAATTTAAGTTTTATATGCATGAAAAAATAACATCAGATTTATGAACTATCCAATTTTTTGGACGGTTAAATGTAAGCGTTTAGACATTCAAATTTTAATTAATTTCTTATTTCTTAAAATACTCATCTGGTGATTTTGAAGTGGATACCAAAATTTTAAATTGGAAAAATGCTCCTTTGGTCTTTTCCCCTCGGGAGTAAGTGTACCTTGTGCTCTCATGGGAGCATGATATATATGATCACCCTTATGGCGAATAATGCTAGTGCTTAAAGTTTAAGATGCCTCTTGCTTTTCTAAAATAATATTGTACCAAGAGAGGAGATGATCTACAAAAATACATGAGAAGTCTACAGATGGTTACTATCGGATATTATTATATAGAACCCAAATAATTTGTTTTCCAAATTATTTCGAAACAAGTGAGGAAATGTTGGATGTGCATTGTTTCTCACAATTGAAGGAGTACCAATCTAATTCATAAGTTCATGATCGGCTTTCTTTTTTCTATTTTCTTTTTTTTTTTTTCCTTTTTTATTCTTCAGCCTTGTTTCTTAATAGAAGTGTTTTGACCTTTTTATGACTTTTTCTTCTTTTTTTAAAAGTTGGTAGTGGATTAGCAATTTTTGAAACCATTAATAATTTTCAAAAGGGTTAGCATTGGTAGGAACGGAAATCAGGTTAGTAATTTTTGATATTGTTAGTAGTTATCAAAAGGAGTTAGCATTGGTAGGAATGGAGCATTGGTAGGAACGGAAATCGGGTTAGTAATTTTTGAAATTGTTAGTAGTTATCAAAAGGGGTTAGCATTAGTAGGAATGGAAACCGAGACCAATAGATGAGGCACAAGTAGTGTTACAACCTTGTACTCAACCCCATTTCTTTTCATGTTAAAAATAATAAAATTATTGTTAAATCCTAAACCCTAAACCCCTTACATTTAATTGGTTAATTTAATTGGTTAATTGGAAGAATTATAAAATTTGCCATGTAATTAATTTAACAATAGTCATCGAGTTTGTTCACCTCGATTGGGTAGTTGTCTCAACAAAACTGAACAAGCATATGTGTCTAAGAAGCACCAAAACAGTCGGAACGTGTTTTTGTGGCTTCCCTAGATACCACTCTATATCCATTCAGTTGCGCACACGCCTAAAAAGGGCCACTGAGATAAGTTATATCCAAGAAACTGCATTTCAACATTAATAGATGGGAGATAAGAAAAGTTTATCTAAGGTTGCAACCTTAACCTTAAAATGTAGAATCACATACACACCTCAAAAATCTATCGAAAATGTTGTTTTAATTTTGAAAAAACACTCTAATCGATCATCTCGACATCAAGATGTATGAATATAAAAAAAAAAGTTCTGAATCCCAAAAATAGCGCATCTTACAATACATTATCTAGACCATCCATTTTTTAAATTTTCATATATTTATAGATCTACTTAATTTTAACTATTTTTGAAATTTAAAATTTTCTAATTAGGTATGAAAATAGATTTTAAGATAATACTAAGAATTTTTTACAACAAAATTACATGTTATGGTAAAATTTTAAGGTGCACCTTAATTGGATTGTTTAAGATTGCAACCTTATAGAAACCGCACCCTTAATAGATTGACCATAACAAATGTTACAAGTTACAATCGAATGCATAGCCCTGGCTGACCGGCTTCATGTGGGAAAGGATATTTCTCTCTCTCTCTCATACTCTTGGGAACCAGAGTAGAGAAACATAAAAGGTCAAATGTGACACCCAATGGATCAACTCTTGGCTCCATGCTTTCTTAAATGAAAATTATGTCAGCACCAAAAAGTACAAAAGAAATAGAATGTTATTTCCTAACAATGGAACATCTTACAAGATCACATGAGAGAGAGATAGAGAGAGAAAGAATTTACATTAAATAGATAACTCATAGATAGATCGCCAATTTTGAAAAAGAGAGTAATTTACACCATCTAGCACAACCTAAGCAACCTTTCTTTAAACATAAGAACTCTTGGCAGAACTCTTGGCATGGAAATGCTTGGCCGTCAAGCTGTTAGTTGAGCCAATTTGATACCTACCAAGAGCACACCTCAATTTTGGGCACCAGCTGCTAGAGTTTAGCTGCATTCCATGTTTAAATATTAATATTCTAGAATAACAATGAAGAAAATAATTTATTAATGTTTTAGAATAACAATGAAGGGAAACAAACAACTTGGAGCTTCAACATGACTAAATCTAAGAGGTGAACTGTTGAAAGAGGATTGTTGAAAAAAGCTTAGTCGCAATTTCACCTGATATTGGCGGGTCATTATGCATAATTGAAAAAGGCAAAGGATTCAAAACTTTCCCTTTGCCAGTCTAGGAGCCATTGAAAGGTTTATATCACCATAAGGTTCTTCTTGTCGCACTTCAATAAATGCATTGCTCTTCAAAACCTGCGATTTTCGAAAGGTTAGGAATCTGTGCTTTGATCCAAAATCTTGCACACTAACGCAGGCCCAAACTTACCAAGAACACCACTAGCTGAAGTCAGAGCAATTTGATGTAACCTAACAATACCTTTAACCTTCCTATTTTATAAGAATTAAGGTTATATAAGGTCATAAAACCATATAGATACACACGTACAATGAAATTGTTAGCGATAAACATGTACAATGAAATGGAATAGTTTGCAAGGTTACTTGGGAAGAACTCAAAACAAAGCATATGAAGATTACCAAAGTTTCAAAGAACAGTTTTGGCACACTCATTTCTTGTTCTTCCTTAAAGAATTCTGTTCAAGCTTAGCTTTCTTAAAGTTCTTTTTGAACTCTCGGATTGAATGGCTTTCTGTAGATACTGTGCAACTGCCATGTGCCAATACCAAGCAGCTATCAGGTTTACATCAAAAATAGGAAACATCCCAAAATAAAATTTGTTCAAAAGGAAATACTTACCTGGTCCTCACAGACCAGGTATGCACACCATCTTCTCTAGGTCCCTCTACAAGAAAACAAAGCCACAAATCAAGTTAGATTAATAAATCCGAATTTAAAATATAGCCCCCATGTCCTCCCAAACTGATGGCAATACACAGCGAGATTTAATGCTAAACTAAATGGCAATCATCACACGCGATGTGATTTCTCAATATACTTTTGTCCAAGTGAGTATGGAAAAGCATAGTGCATTAGGGTCATAACCATCCAGTGAAATGCATGTAAGGTGGGACTCACCACCTGCGATCATGTACTCATTTTGTGGTAGGACCCACTCCGTCTCCATTGCCATTCATTCCATAGGAGGTTCATGATCACACTGGGAGATGGTGAGCCATAGTCCATTGGACAATGATAAATTACCCCTTCATAATAAGCCATTCATCTGATTTCACTGTCAGAGGCAGTGCATTTATATTTACCTGATTGACCAGCATCTGCCTTCAAAAAGCTTAGGTCCTACAAAAGAGTGGTATAATTTAGGGTCCAGCAGATCTCAAGAACATTATTCCATGAAGCAATAGAACTCACAGTGAGCAGGAAAAAAAAGTTGCCTCACCCTTCACATAGGCATGCTCTTTGTTATCAATTTTGCAGATTTATTTTCAGTTTTCTATTCTAATTCAAGGGCCCAAGTATCAAAGACAAAAGAAAAACACAC